AAACTCCTCATCCCGAACAAGAGGGTACCGTTCAGGGTTTAGGGTGCAGGCTTGGATCCTTTATATACAGATATATACATATGTATATATATATATATACATACATACATACATATGTGTGTGTGTTTGTGTTTTTGTTGGAGGGGAGGGGGTTGTCCTAAATCCTTGCCTTGACAATTGAAACTACTGGTGCGCGATAGGTTGCGCCGAAGGTCGTGCCTCTGCTTAGCGAAACCATACCGGAACCCTCATTATCACATGTTATGTTTGCCTTGCCAAATTAAGTGCTTACAAATCCCACCCTCAAACCGCCCTTTCGCAAGTCTCAGGGTCCGCCATGGCCACAGCCGGCAGCGGGACCACGCTTGTAAGGATTTGGCACTCCTATTTGTGGGCAAGTTGTTGTGCCCCTCGAATCCATGTCCGCGCGCCGAAGAGAGAGACCGTGTAGGGATTCGGAGGTGGGTTCATTCTCTTGCGGTCTGAAGGTGTCCATCAAAGTGTGCATCCCACCAATGCACACATCAGAAATTCATAGAAATTCCCCTGCATCGATACCCCGATCTGCAATGTGCACGCTTCTGACGTGATCAAAAAATTAGGTGCTTACCAAAATCGCGTTCAACGGCCGACGCTCTGCAGAAAGAAAGTCGCGACGACGCCTACTACTGGTATCACCCACGAGCACTACTGCCGCTACTTCTCCTGCTAATCTTGCTACTAATTACTACTGCTACTGCTGCTACTGGTGCTGATACTACAGCTGCTGTTGCTGCTGCTACTACTACTACTACTACTACTACTACTACTGCTCCCACTGCTACTGCTACTGCCGCTGCCACTGCCACTGCCACTGCTACTGCTGCTGCTACTGCTAGTCCAACTACCACCACTATGACGACGACTATTACTACCACTACTACTACGACGACGACGACTACTACTACTACTACTTACTACTACCACCACCACCACCACAACCACCACTACTACTACGACGACTACTACTACTGCTGCTACTACTAGTACCTTTGCTACTAGTACTACTATTATTACTACTACTACTACTACTACTAGTACTACTACTACTACTACTACTACTACTACTACGACTACTACGACTACTACTACTACTACTACTACTACTTCTGCTACTCCTGCTGCTACTACTACTACTACTACTACTGCTACTCCTACTACTACTACTACTACTACTACTACTACCCCCCCTTGCTCCATCCGGGTTGGGCAGTGGCAGCTTCTTGGCTCCCTAACTGGGACAGCTGAAGAAGCCGGGGCTCAGGCTCCCTATGCCCTATGCTATCGGTGACGGCTGCAAAAGTTGCTGAGGCTCACTTTCCTTAACTGTCACAGCCGGTGAAGTTGCAGCGGCTCAGGCCCCAAAGCTGCGGCAGCAGTACAGTTGGAGTTGCAAACTCGACGTGGAAGAATCTGTTAAACCACAAGTGGTCGGATAGTTCGAAAACGCTGTAATTAACTACCGTGCAAAGCGCAGGTGCCGCCAAGAAGGTTTTTTTAACACTCCTAAAACATGAAGCACAACATCTTATAAACATCAAAAACAAAGATGTCAGCTGTACGTGGGAGGAGCTCGCCAACACCCCTAAAGCCCAGACCTCGGCGTAGGAGGGTTTGTTTTTCAAGCACTGCGTGGTGTGTGCGCGCAAGGGTGTGGAGATATTGATCGGGGTGTCCGCGAAACAGTGTCGTGACACCGAAAAAGCTTCCCACCACCCAAATTCGAGTTTTCGCCGACAGCTTTCCGAAATCTCAGTCCACAAGTGTGTTTGGTGACTTTTTAAATTTAAACAGGGCCCTACATCACAAAAGTACGGCTCTTCTAAAGATATTGTTCGGGGTGTCGGTGTAACAATGTGAACTTTACTTTTTCCACCCCCCAACCCCAGTCTCAAACCCCAAGAATGGATTTTGAGGCGAGAAGAAGTGGTATAACACGACGAACGTACCGTAAGCACAAAGTCAATCGGATGCGCTCTTAAGAGGGTGGAGCAGAGGTAGTTGGTAGGGGGCTACTATTGCTGCTACCACAACTACTACTACTACTACTACTACTACTGCTACTACTACTACTACTAATAACTACTGCTACTGCTCCAGTACCAGTACCACTACCACTACTACTACTACTACGACGACGACGACGACTACTACTACTACTGCTAACTAATCAATATTCCCCTCTTGATTGCATACCTGCATGCATGCATGGATGGATGGGTGGGTGG